AATGTGTGTGTATTCTAAGTCTTTGTTTGAAAGTTAACAAGCTCAATTTTGAGAACATTTTTTGCCTTTTTCGTTACGTTTGGATTGCTTTTGTAAAGAGTGCGGTTCAAAAAAGGCATTGATTAAGGTCCTATGTTGCCATACCATTCATTACCGAAAAAACCAAACCATGCTTAACAAAGTTTATTCTAATTTTATCACATTATACAATAATTTATTTAAGTTCGAAAATCAATTGAGGGTTTCGACTACTATACGATGCTCACACGGTAATCGAATAAATAGTAATAGAAAGAAAAAAATCATTAAGCAATGCTTCTCATCACAAGATAAAAACTGGCTAATTTGCAATCAGGAAATACGAACTTTTGCATTATTAATCAGAAAATGTGTGCCAATATATTTCGTTCTGTTGCAATCAAGGAAGTCACAATTGAGAATAGTACCTTTCTTAAACGTATTGCATTGTTTGCAGCGCGCAGTCGAAATTCCTAAGAGCGTAATTTTATTGAACCAGCAGCGAATGTATTAACCTACTGAAATAATACGATATTGTTTTATACAAACACTCTCAATTCATCATTCAAGCTAGAAGACGTTACCGCCGTCGTATGACGTTGGACTATTACTGCTGGATTCGGATTGGTCCATCTGATTACTTTGACTTCCAGACGGTGTTGCGCCAAAAAGAGAACGGAGCACATTTTGAACATTTGTGGCTGCAAAAAATCTTATTTCAAAACTGTACTGTATGGAACTGTACCATCACTGACCTTGCCCAGTCGCAGCTTCTACGCCCGTTTGGTCGCTGCTGATCGGGTTGCTATCTTCCCCATCGGTGAGATTTTGTCTGCAAATAGGGCAAGTACCATGCAGCTCAAGCCAGGGTCTTATGCAGCCTTCGTGGTATATGTGTAGGCAGGGCAGTTGTCTGAATAGACAACATAAACTTTGAGCTTTTAGTAAGATTTCGAAAACTGCTAGCCCTTACCGCACTTGCTCCTTCACGGTAAAATGCTCCCAGCAGACGGAACATTGTAGATGCTGAGCGACTTGTTCACCTGTTACGTCTACGACTTGCAAAGCATCTATTACAGCTTTAGACACTGGCGGAGGACCTTTAAGTAAAATTTGTTAAACAGTCCGAAAAACATAAACTACCAACTTACCTGTACTGTCCATTTGATTCAAAAGCTGTGTTACTATGGCATCTAGGCCTTCTCTACCCCAAGCATAATCCCCGGGGTTTCCCAGAAAAAGTTGTACATTTCCCGGTCCACCTAAATTCACACCTACCCCCAAATTAATGATAAAGTCGTGTACTAAGTGCTCGATGGGATGTTGCTGTCTCAGATTTGAAGATGCCAGACGAGTCAGCGTTCTAAAAATCATGATTTCCGTCAAGATCACGCAATTTTCTATAGCGGTTTGTGTGTTCGGTTAGCAAATCTAACAAAAACAGATTTTGTTAACCTTGGAAGTCCGCTATACCTTCCTTCCATCGGTCCTCCGTTCTCTGATGCTCGCCGACCCAGTAGTGCACTATGCAAATATTCCGGCTCACTCTAAAAATAAAGCCGAAAAGCATGCAACAGGCTTGATGAATTACAACATCTTGCAAACACTAACCGTGTCTGAAATTCGTTCCCAAGATTCGTCGAATTGTAAAGGTGTTGAGTTGTCTCCTAGTTCTTCGACGAACCCATCAGCGCAATGGGGACATGTAAAAGACTGAAACAAAGAGTCTTTGCTCAACTTGGCATCGCCATCAATATCAAATCTCTATAGTGCTGTTTACGGTACTTGTTAGATATACTAAATTAAAAACTTTGATTTTCTCCTTATCAGCTCGACCATTACATTGGATTTGACTGGAAACTTCGCAATATTTAATATTAACCTTACTGCACGTTACATTGATTATTATCTACTAATCACAAGTCGGGAGCTTTGTGCTTCTCTATACTATCCGCTTAATCTATTCAAAGTGGACCGTCAGGCGAAGCACAAAAAGGTTTTTAAGTACCTAAAGGCTTTAATTCTACTAGTTATAGGTAGGCATCAACTGCCGAAATGACTAAAGCTCTATAATGAATGGACATATGGCCTAGAAAATACTTTAAAATGTGTCATGCTCTTGTGTGGTCAAAGGAAACCCACATTTAGGCCTTTGTATGGTTGGTTTTTGTAAACATTAAGCACGAGCAAAAAGTAAGGCTGTGAGGCTGTGTGTGACCATCTTTTGAAGCAAGTTACATGACAAACTGGGGCGTCTGTTTCCATTTTGCCTGAGATGATTGCTATACGTTGGTAAAGTTGGTATGACGTTGGTAGTCTGGAGATGGTTCGAATGATGAACTCAAACGAAAATTGATTTTTATCTGAGAATAGAAACATCAAAAGACTTACATTAGGTCTGTTTTGGAATTCCACGTGGCATACATGACAGTAAAATCTCGCATGTGTTATCGGCTCTTCTACGGCTGCCTCCGCCATGATTTTCCAGCTGAATTCCTTTTAAACCACGAAAAACTGGAAATTTTCAATACAATTTCTGTATGATGAGAAATATGACAATGCGAAGGGATGTACCAAACTGAAGCAAAGTTGGGAACGATTTAGTGTCAAGTGTCATGTGCTTGAAGAATGGAATTATTTAATTGCGTTTTATTTTATATTTCACCAGACTCAATTATCCAAGGATGTGTCTTAAATACGCCGAAATAATTTAAAGTATTTTTTGATTAACTTGAATGAAAATACCGGTAAAATACAACATGTTAATTTCGGTTTCTGGCACCGTTGTCAATGCAAACACGTTTCTTCTCATTCTGAAAACGTGAGTTCACATCTGACAGATCAGATATGGTTTGATAATCTGTGGATCAGTCATCAGACGTCAGAATGTTTGGAAAAGTTGATGTAAAGTGGTGTTAGATACAATTTTAAACAATTTACCAATTTACGTGTAACAAGGATCCATTAACAAATATGATACCAAATTTGATGTGTAAACAATGAATAAGTTCTGTGTATCAAATCGTAAGTGCCGCAATATCTCTATTCTCTGTAGCGAAGTCCCCGCATAACGCCACACCTTCTAATTAGAACAAACAGGAAAGAAACTTTAAAAGGAGTTTGAGTTGGTTCTGGTGTTGTGGGTGACTGTGACACGATGGCTGAACTGGCCGCTCTTCTAAGGTCGGAAATTCCGGAGGGCAGAAGTAGCCTATCAGATAATCATACCAACTTGCAAAGAGTTGCTGAATACTGCGAGGCCAACTATTTTCAAACTGATAATAAGCCTGGAGCTTTGGAAGAAACGAAGAATTATACGGCTCAGTCTTTGGCGAGTGTGGCCTATCAGATCAATACTCTAGCGTACAATTTCCTGCAGTTATTGGATATGCAGGTAAGTTTTTCAACGGTTAAGCAACGAAGCAATGGCAATGGGTATGGGTGAATTTGCAGACGGCCCAACTAGCGGAAATGGAAAGCCAAATGAACCACATCTCACAAACTGTCATGATCCACAAGGAAAAGGTGGCACGGCGCGAAATTGGAGTTCTAACAGCAAACAAGAGTACCAACAGGCAGTACAAGATCATTGCACCAGTCAATCCAGAAAAGCCTATTAAATATTTACGAAAAGCCATTGATTATACCAGTAAGTTGAGCATTCAGCAGTGAGTACAGAATCGCTGTTGCAAACACTGTTTTCTGATGCACAGTTTTTGACGATATTGGCCATGGGGTGAGAAGTGGTGGTACCCCTAGGCAGAAGCAAAGAGGTTCCAGTTCAGGCAGTATTCATTCTGTTAATTCTATGCCCGGAAATCTGATGGTAGGCCCTGCACCTACCACCAAACCGCCCACACCTCCTCAAGTTTCACGGACATCAAGTAAAGGTGAGTGAAAACCTATATTTTGCTAGATTATTACTGAAAGGCTAACCTCGATATTGGCCTAGTTTCTGTGTCTGGTGGCACTTTGTCAAAAAATAGCAGGGAGTATCGCACTCCTCCAGCAGTGGCTCCCCCGCAGGTGCCGAGTCATTATGCTCCCAATTACCCGATGGGTCACCCCAGACGAGAAAGGGGTCCTGGATACAGCGCCTTGCCTATGGCAGGGGCCCAGGCACAACCTCAGGTATTTCATCTATTTACGTTAGATGGGTTCGAAATTGTTCTCTAAATCGGATTGCTCCAAATCCACAGATGTACAAAATTGTATTAGATCGCTAAATTAATTAGGTTGGTATGGTCCATCCGATCACTCAGCACAATCAGCAGGGCATTATTCAACCGCAAACGCCGCCTCCACCGCCACCCCCCAATTCAGGAAGCAACTATGGAGCACATGACTTACACAACATGCCGCGTGAGTAACATTTGCTTACGAATCCGTGTAGTTCTTTTACGAAATGCCGCATCTTTAACAGCACCGCCTTCGCCCTTAATAAATTCCCAAGAGATGGTACTCAGTTCGAATCAGCATCATCCCATGATGATGGGTGGGCATCACGGTCCTGTGCCCCATGGCAGTTTAGGGATGCACACGCTATCCCATGCACAGGGGCACCGAATGAGTCAGGCATTGCAGCAGCAGCTAGTGAGTAAATCAGAACTCTAGCCAGGTCAAGAGGGCAAAGCCAAAGTTGTTCCAGGCTGCTTCCAGAGGGAGTGGCTCGCAATCGCCTCCACTTCCTCCGCCACCTCCTCCGGACGACGAGCACGAAGCTTTTGGACGGCCGCGCGCGTCATCCGGAGTAATGCCAATTGTTCCGGATGAGGATGATCTTCCCGGGTGGGTCCCTAAGAACTACATTGAAAAGGGTAAGTAAATGCAGACATAACTACTGCTCTTCATGGTCACGAGCCGAACTCTCTTAGTTGTAGCCATTTATGACTACTACGCCGATAAGGATGATGAGCTGAGTTTCCAAGAAAGCGCCGTCATCTACGTGCTGAAAAAGAATGATGATGGATGGTGGGAGGGGGTCATGGATGGCATTACCGGGTTGTTCCCCGGCAATTACGTAGAGCCTTGTGTTTAAAGCAGCAAAATGGATGGTAGTTCGGATTTGACTATGTATGTATTTTTTAGTAACAGATATTATTGCATAATCGGGTTAAAGTAATTTAGATTCTTCAATAAATATTTAATGTAAATCTCAGTTGGATTTGAATAACTAAATATATCCTTATCAAAAGAGATAGGACATTCCTTGAAACTAATGGGTTTTTAGGCCGTCGTTCGGTAGAATTTCTTCCTGACGTTCCGCAAGCACGAGTGGCTTGCATCTTCAGAAGTGGTTTGCTTGAACGCTTACACTGTTCTCATCAGAACCCGTTCAGTTCTGCGGAAGAACTGCACGGAAGAACTGCACGGCATCGTTCGTCTTAGTTTATTTTGTAATTAAATTGACTTCCTAGAGTATTTTTACAGTAAATCTATGCGAACGTCTGCAGACTCTGTTTGTTTAGGAGGTCCATGTTTCGGAACACTTCGTCAACAAGGTACTGAACGTCTTCTTGTTCGGACATTATCGCCTTGTCCACGAACGCACAAATTTGGAATTTGTCATCATAAGTCAAGATGGTAAAACAAATTCCTAGATCAAGAAATATATATGTACTCCAATAACTTACAGCCGACAATGCAGTAAGCACTTACCTGTTTCATTTGAGTGTGGCGCAGTTGAGATAATAGTTTCAAGATCGCAATCGCCAAACACTTTGATTCGTCCCGCTCCAGGCACTATCGAGATAGTGGCAGTAAACGCCTTGGTAGTTGTTATCTTCAGTAACAGCTGTGAAGGAATCACTGCACATATGTAGTTCACCAAAAAGTACATGACCTAGAAGGCAGATCATTGAATTTTAAGAGAATCTGGCTTACATTTGGAACTTACAGCAGTGGTAGGACTCTTCCTCATTTTCTCCACGCTGACTTTCACATCCTCCAGTCCGTTTATAAAGTGGTCTGGGTCTACTAAGGGCAGGCTTAAGTCGGCGAAAGTAAAGTCGTTCCTCAGCTCGGGTAGCTTGCTGCTATTTGATTCAGGATAGAGAAACAACAGGGGAGTTAGGACGGACATTTGCGGGGGAACTTTCCATTTTTTCTGCAAAGAAAGCGTCAGGTTTGGTGTCTGGCATTAATCCTGCAAGTCAACGAACCAGTTGAAAATAGTTATAAAAGCTCGCTGATACACAGCTCAGAACCACTTCGCTGAATCGAGTGTTTGGGATTCGATTTTTAATATTTTTCACAGTGTTGACTCGTTGGATACTTTGCTCCGCAGACCACGCGATCAGTTTATCTCCACTCAGCGATGCGTTGTGGATGGGATTTTCGTCTTCTTCCTTCCAGAATGTCATATTGAGAATCGCTGCTGGTCCTTTTACCACCAAGTAGACCAACTGGATTGATTTGCTTAAAACATCGCACTAAAATTTTTGTTTTATAAGCTTCAACACATTCATCTTAAGCTTACTAGTTGATCTAGGATGCGCTTTCGGCCACTTCTCTGACGACTGATCTTATCAACATAATTCACATCACTGGAAAATATTTTGGACATAAACAGCACAAGTCGAATGCCATCAGCTGTTGAATGGTGAATTCTAAACAGTACTGGGTAAAGGTAGCCTTCGACCTTAAACAGGAGCAATTTAGAGGGTTCAGCGATGCAGTATTATTGCAACAAATACATTTGTATTGGCGTTATCCATAGGATCAATGCCGACGAGGATTTCCCAGAGCGCGGTGTGATTTCTTGGCAAAGGCACATTGCTCAAATCGCCTACGAGTTTCTTTAGATAGGCATCGTTGAAAGTACCGTCCTTCGGGCCAGGCATGGGCTTGATTATTTCGTCGATTCCAATTTGGTTCTTCAAGAGGTAGTCCTGGCCTAAGAACGTGTGGAACGTTGACGTCAGTTTTCCTTCTTGTTTTGCATCGCCCTTTATCTGAAACGGTTTTTCCAAACATAAGGAGATTCAACAGTGATGGCATTTAAATTAAGCCTGGGTAACACTGTGTTGAGTTGATGCCGCTCTAGGATTTGGTGAATTATCGACTCACTGCGCCGCACCTCGAACTGCGCCTGGGGCGGAATAACTCTTGAAATCGGAACTTTTAGGACATTTAGTGACCATCAAGCCTTCTACGGAATGTTAATCTTTCAAGTTTCTACTGGCTTTACTTTGGAAGTTCGAATTTTTTATTGAAGAGTCTGCTGTTGTATAAAAGCGTTTTTTTTCCAAATTTACAAAGCGCGCAAAATTCAGGATTTCATGTGATTTGAATGAATTTTTGAAGATTTGAAAATATTTCGACGACATTTAGAGCGCACTCTTCTTTGTTGAACACACAACTCTGAACTTGTAAGAGTATTTTTGTTTATTTTTGTCGTTAAAACTCACTGTGCCGCTCCTGAAAATTAACTGAGTTACCCATGCCTAATTTGAATACAGTTTTGATCTGAGTGGTTTTTTCCAATTTTTCTTCGTGCGGCCTAACGCGCAATAATCCTATTCAACTTACTTTTTCATTTAATGTTTGAGTCATTTTTTGCATCACATCAATTTTTTGGTCACTTCGAAGGTACCACAATATCAGCGTTATTTTTCTGCTGGCTGGAACATTGGGCACATACACTTTATCACCTGCGCTTAGTAAACCTCCATAGGCCTCGCCTAATGTTAGTTGCAGCCAAAGACCCACTAACTGCCTATATACCCATAGCGCTGCTAAAACTGCTATGTTGACTGGCAGGAAAACCACTCCTAATAACTGAATAATATAATCTGGTGCTTTGCCCTTTTTTCTCTGCATGTTTCATCCACAAAGCTTTACTTATTCGCAGAGGTCTCTACACACATGTATTCAACACTTAGTTACTGCATTGTGTTCGGTTTTCATGCCACAGCTAATCTAATTTTCTTATCATTCGTAAGATAAATAAATATACGCTTAAGTGCTCCTTTCTCGTAATGAGTTCTTCTAATTATTTGATCATTGCCGGATTGGTGAATAATAAAAGAACACTCCAAATTTCACAAAACTTGACCCTGACTGTTGGTCGACCTTTTACTAATTTGGTGTCCGTTCTGAATAGTCCAAAATACAGCGCACCGGTTGTTATCGCGACATTTCGCTTACTAAATCGAATAATAAATAAGTCGCCAATCCGATTAGCGATGGTGCTAATAGTATTTTAAAAATATAGCAAGTATCAATAATGCGGCTCAGGTAGATGTGCACACTATATACAGAGTGAATATGAAGAAAGTTGATCAAGTTTCCAAAAGTAGTGCAACTGATTGTATTGAAATAAAAAAAAATCTATTTTCGCTGTGCGATCCCACATTCCTTCAACTGTGCTTCGACTTTATTTTCCATCTCTTGATTCCTCATAGTCAAGGTATTGCTATTAAATATAAATATCTACAAGTTATATTCATATTTTATTTAACATAAATTACAAAAAAACAAAAAACAATTAATAAATATCTACACGAATATGATTGTTCACATGACGGATGCGTTTACCGGGTAAAACGCTTAAAACTTACTATAAAATATGATACAAAATGTACAAAACCATATGTACAACTATACAGGAACTATATACAAACGAGTCTAATTTTATTGGCTATACGTTTTCGGAAATTGCGCTTTAAATACATTCTTACAAATAGCACATTAAAATATGTAACGAACGCATCATATAGGTAGGCTAAAGCTGTAACATAAATCACAGTTTAGGTTAATTTTCCAATAGTACTCATATAACAGTTTTAACTATGTACATGTAACGAGCTAAATGAAGTTGATTGGATAATGGCGATGCTTTGTCCTGTTCCAACTATTAACTGGATATGTATATGTTGTAGAATTTTTGTTTTTATTTTAATGGGACGAATTTGTAACACTTCTGAATTATGGGCATCCTGAAATCAATGAGGCTAGTTATCAATAAAACTACTATATGTATAAACAGACATACAGATAATCATGCATACTTTTTCTATACGAATGGATATATTGCTAAGTAGACGGGCTTATTGGAAGGTCAGTCTAGTTTCATATTGATATATGGTTTTAAAGAATCCATCTAATTTGTTGCCCAGATATTAACTTGAATTCCAAATCAAATTCATTCCTGGGTTTCAGTCATTTATTGTCTCTATTTATCAATCAAAATACGTTTCGGTGTATTTTTCCACCATCATC